ATGGAGTAATTTCGAGTCCGATTCGTGAAGTAGCAGTTGAGAATGATTTACTTTCTCATTCCGGGGAATAGGGGAAATGTTCTTCCCATAACTGGATAGCACTTGTTAATGTGACCCTTCTCGCCGAGTCACCTATGCGCGGAGATCCCCAAAAAAAATACAAAAAGTAGAAATAAACCGTTTGTAATGATTCTGGTGAGAGTGCCAAAGGACATTGTTGTTACCGCTAATTAATTAATCGCAAACGACTGTTGATACTAATATTAGTGGTGTGGAATTAGGGTTGGAGAATCGAGCAACCCTCTACTAAAAGATCAGATGTCCTCGATGAATCAGAAAGCTAATCTGAAGACACACGATACCAACGGAGCAATGAAAGGCAGCGCAACAACCCTCGACGAAGGACTCGAAATGAAAGGCATGGGCTCCACTAGTCACATCCTAGAAGGTCAGTTCCTCCTCTTCCCCTCTCCCCCTCCATGCAATCGTCGATGGGAGGTGGTGAGTGAATTTCCCCATTAGTGGCAGGGAATGAGGAGACGCCGTTGCTGGAGAGGGCGAATAAAGGGTTGACGCTCTACGCCCAGCAGATGTATGCCATGCTGGTCAAGAAGTTTCTCAATTTCTTCCGGAACAAGGCCCTCAGCATCACCCAGGTGACAAATTCAGATATTGCTTCCCAAGTCTTTATTGGATAAGTATCTAAATAGCGCACTGATTTCGGTGCCTAAGAGAAGCGAAAATTGACTTCAGGTTGCCTTTGTGGTGAAAGGAAAGAAAAGGTGCGAATTAGCTTTTAAGCTGAGTGACACATTTGCAGTATGTACTGAAATTTATTTTTGAGTCAGCTCGAATTCACCGTGCCATATTGAATGGAGTAAGGGTATATTTCCTACAACTAAAATCCAGTGAACAGGGGAAAAGGCAATCGTTACAATATTCGCAAAGGCAAACAACAAAAAATGCCTGCAGTTAAAAAATAACGACGGTAAGAAGTAACGGAAGTGAAATAATATATTATTAGGACCGGGACTTGAATCCGTGTCTCCTGATTATCGGTCAGGTCTGCTATCGCTACACCACTGAACCCAGGACATTCTGTGTGCCTTCTCGATGCCATCCTCATCCGCCACAATATTTATCCTTCTATCTCTGGGATTGCATGGCCTAGCCGGGAATGCCATTGCCATGGGATGACAATGGCATTCCCAACCTTTTTTTTTTGGCCTTGATTGGGGTCATTTGAATTTAATATAGAACCTGTGCAGTTCTTAGAGCGAGGCGATAATTGCGCTTCAGCATGTAATCGAAGTTGTAAAGAAATGCTCTGCTGTCTTTTAACCGTAGGTGTTGACGCCGGTGTTCTTCCTGGTGATCGCCCTCGTCGTGGCCAAGACGTTTCCCGGCGTCGAAGACTCTCGTCCTCTTCTCATTTCACTTCAAGTGAGTCCTTTTTCTCATGCGCAAAAAAAAAGCAAAATGAATGAATAATTTATGCGAAGAAAAACGAAATTTTCTTTTTCAAACCGAGTTCAATAATAAAATTAAAAGTTGGCGTTGAAAGGTCCACTTCGAGGCAAGGATCCCAAAATAAAATTACTGTGGTTGTTGCGTGCACACAGCCGTACCGAAACCCGCAAGTGACGGCTGGGCGCGAGGAGGACGTGGCGCCTTTCCTCCAAGGCGTCTTCGACACTTACTTGAATTATCTGAGAGCTGACTTCGGGGAGGAGGTGTACGTGCCTGTCAACGAGACCGTGGAGGATTTCCTCATCGAAAAGGTCGGTGTGGATTGAAAAAAAAAATTGTTTTCCCGTTGTCAGCAGATTTAACTTGAATTCTGATTTGTTTCCCCGCGGGAATTCACTTCTACTTCGCATATTCATTTTGTACAAAGGGGAACACATTCTTTAGTTCCCCCCGTGGAGGTAAAACTTTGACTCTTTCTTTCTGGAAAGTACACCTAATTATTTTTTGTTTGATTACATGTTAATGGAATTTTGCAAGTCCTCCACCCAATTGCCATCCATAAGATAGTTTCCCAGCACCTCATTGGTGCGCTTCTTTTAATATAAATTTAATCTATTTATTCTTAACCTCCACGGTTGTGTTGCATTGCTACCGGACATACCGAATTTCGGAGATATGTCAAAAAAGCTCATAATAAGAATTACTTTCCTGAAATTTTTTTTTACTGAAGTGATATACAAGTCATAGGGGCTAAATATTGCCTGCCTTATACTTCGTTGATACTGCTAAAAGAATCCTACTTCAGAGGTTGTTGTCCGAACTCGTGCCTATACCATAACATTTTAATGCGGCGCGGCAGGGGAAGGAGGATGTGTACTCCTACAACCTGAGGTACGTGA